AGGAAAGGTAGCAGAATACAACAGTTACTAATAGGGCATCATGTAAAATTGTGGATGTGTAACCGATGTGATTCTGCAATCTGCATTTGGGGTAAAAATTTGGAGTTCATAACCCACTTGAATCTAATGTATGAAATATGATCTGTCAAGAGCTGTGTAATGTTGTGAACAACCAATAAAAAAAAAAGAAAATGAATTTAATCAAATTAATTTATTTAAGCCACAGATTTTGCTAGAGCTGAATATCTTACTAAAAATTAGAGTTGAAAATTTCATCACAAATTTCTAAATTTTGAAAAAATGCTATTTCTGGATTTCTAAATCTTATAAAGCTCTAGCTAAAAACCATATATTCAGTATTTTAATGATTCCTACCTCATTTCCCAGGTATTAATCTCACCTTGAGTACTTTCATTGCCTTTTCCAACTTTTTCTTGTTTTTGGAGCTCTTCTTCCCTGTGGCATACTGCACTAGCAGGTCTCTTGCTGTGGGGCCGTCATCCTGAAAGAGATACTACTTTGTAAAATTGGAAACAAGGGGGACTAGGGTTGTGGCTCAGAGGTAGAGCACTTGCCTAGTTAATGCATGAAGCACTGGGTTCAATCTTCAGCACCACATAAAAATAAAATAAAGGTATTGTGTCCATCCACAACTAAAAAATAAAAGTTAAAAAAAAATTGGAAACAAGGAATAGATCTGCATAGAAGCAATATATAATCCTTTCAACAACTTTTTGGTTCTTATCTGCTCTGCACACACCTATTAAAAATGAATAAATTTTTAAAATTAAGTTAAAAAATATGCACCCTGGGCTGGGGATGTGGCTCAAGCGGTAACACGCTCGCCTGGCATGCATGGGGCGCTGGGTTCGATCCTCAGCACCACATAAAAGTAAAATAAAGATGTGTGTCCACTGAAAACTAAAAAATAAATATTAAAAAATTCTCTCTCTCTTAAAAAAATGCACCCATCTGTAAAAGAAAACAGATACACACAAAAATTACTGTGTTTATATTTTGATTTTGATTTTTACTGAAGACTGATATACAGAGTACAACTTTGTATTTATTTGAAAGAAACTAGAAACAAATTTTGATCAAAAGGGGAACACTTAAAATAAAGTCATATATTCTGAATATGTGGAGGTTATTCTTTAAGATTTAATTGCACTGGTAGATCTATATGTATTGATATAAAGAAAGCAAGTTGCAGAATACATGTTATTCATACAGTTCTTAAAAACCTACTATACACGTAAGACTTTATGCAGGCGTATCCATATTTAAATGGATGAAAAATGAGATGGTTATCTYTGAAGAAGGAACAGCAATGTAGAAATAACATTAAAGTAAAACACATTTTATCCATAGTATCTAAAAAGTTTTATAGCAAAAATGTATCAATCACACATTGTTTAAAAGATGGCCATTACATATTTTAGATCTAGCTATCAAAATGCTTTAAATGGAAAAGGGAGACTTTTTAGAATTTCTTTTTAATACTTCTAAGAAAATTTTATGATGTCATAAATCTTGATTATTTTTCCTTTTAAAGATGCCATAATCTTCTCCCCTCCTCCCACTGTAAATTTCTATGATGTTGACATTATCTCAAAATATACTGGCAGCAATTTTTATTCTAAATTTGTACAGTAAGATAAAGATATAGCTTTAGAGTTAAGAATAAGGTGGAATAAATCTGCCTTTTACTTCATCAATCTTACTGAATACAAGTGATAAATTCAAAGTGGAATAAAATCTCAATATAGAACTCAATGAAGGACAAAGGTGAAATACAACAGTTTTTCTAACTCTAGTAGTCCAAAATTTTACAAGTTGTTCTCAGAGAAAAAAACGAAATCTGAGAAATTATAAAATTCAGAAGCATCTATCATTAAACTAACCTCAGATTCTGAGTCACTGTCCTGTTTYTCATCTTCATCTTTCCCAAGGAAGAATGTCAAAGCAGCAACTAGTATCTAAAGACCAATCAGAAAAAAAGTCAGTTATCTAACCCAGCTTACAACAACAACAACAATTTTTTTTTTACATTTTACATATACATATGAACTAGGATCTAAAGAAAAATATGCAAAGTGTAGTGGGATTTTTGCTCCTTTTGTTTAATTTTAAAATGTTTTCAACATGTCATCTGTCCCAAATATGTAATTTTAAAAATCCTTAACTACAGGTGGGGGTGTAGTACAGTGGTAGAGCACATGTTTAGCATGCATGAGTTCCTGGGTTCAATCTCTAGCATCACAAAAATTAAATAAACTTAGGATAAAAACTGYCAGGCTCTGTTATCTTTGTCTTTCAGGTAGACTACCAAGAATTTCTACATTCCACACAAGGAAAGTAATGTCATGGCCATTCTAACAGAAAGTCAAATATAGTTCTTAAAATTCTTTCAATTGTATCAGAGCCTAACAGAAGAGAAGAATTAGAGGGGAAAACAATGTAAACAGCTATTACTCATTACAATGCTTTATAATCTCATAATTGCTTGACTCTTCTACAGCACAGACAACCTAAGGAAGTAGTCTAAATACAAAGAAAGCCTCATCAAACATAAATCCCACGTTCCATCCACCACTTCTTTACATATCCAGCTCCTTTACCTTCTATCCATAGAAACAGACCACAAAGACAGTGTTTCCACACAGCCCTACAAGTGCTCACCTTGGTGACCTTAGAGAAACATGCAGTTGTGATAACATTAACAGTTTTGGCATCATTCCTGGGGGGAGACAATGAATGTTTTGAAGTAGACTTTCATTGTATTGTATTTCACAGTACAGACAATGGCACAAAAGAAACAACATAAAAAATACTTCTGACATTCGAATTTTCAACTCTAAAATTTTTAAATCATGGTTTGCATCCAGGTGGTGGTGCACACCCATAAATCCCAGGTACTTGGGAGAATGAGGCAAGAGGATCAAAAGTTCATGGATAGGGGCTGGGGTTGTGGCTCAGTGGTAGAGTACTTGCCTAGCATGTGTGAGGCACTGGGTTCCATTCTCAGCACCACTTAAATAAACAAATAAAGGTATTGTATCCATCTTCAACTAAATATATTAAAAAAAAAAAAAAAAGTTCAAGGATAGCCTGGGCAACTCAAAGAACACCATGTCTCAAAACAAAATTTTTAAATAGGCTGGGGGTATAGTTCAGTGGTGGAGAATTTACTGAGCATGTGCAAGGCCCTGGCTTCAATCCCCAGCGCCAAAAAATGTCATGGATTCCTAAATTAGTCAACCACAAGTAAAACATTTAATTTTGCCCACTCTTAAGACAGAAAATTTGCAACAAGTAAGGTGAAGTATTTGAAGTATTTTAATGACACAGAATCTAAAAGTAAGTGGGGAAAAAACCCCCAACAACCCAGAAGAAAAAATCTGTAATACAGCAAAAATCCAGCCATAGTTAAATACGCATGCTACATAAATACCCAAAAGAAATATAAAATACTAACAGTTAATTGTTTGGGTGGTGGGATTTTTATGAAAAAAATAAAAAACAACAACAGGGCTGGGGTTGTGGCTCAGCAGTAGAGCGCTCGCCTCGCACGTGCGAGACCCTGGGTTCGATCCTCAGTACCACATACAAAAATAAACAAGTGAAATAAAGGTGTTCTATCCAACTACAACTTAAAAAAAAAAAAAAAAAAAAAAAAAAAACTTTTCTAGTTTCTCCAAATGTTCCAAAAAAGGAAGAAAAAAAAATAAAGTTCATCAATATCAAAAAGCAGAAGACATGAGTTGGGGCACTATATCAACAAAACAAAGTATATGAAATACAGTATGTCACATGTGCAGTAGTAACTGACTTGGAAATCTTTAGAATGGCAAAGGAAGTAGGGCAGATTTTGAGGTCAGAAGACCGGGGTTTCAATTTCAACTCTTCCTCTTAATACCTAAACTCTTACTCTATTACCTTCCATTTGATTACCTATAAAATGGAGCTAGTTCCATACAGGTTGCCTTTGTTCTTAGGATGTTCTTAAGGGTAAATGAGGTAATCAAGAAACAGTAGTCAATGTTATCTAGTCATTTGGATTGCCTCCATATTCTTACTTCTAACTTAATTTATGATAGATGTATATCGAAGAGCACATGATGAAAAGTATTTGTGTATGTGCTCTGTATTAATTATGAATGAAAAAAAGAATCTACTTCTTAAAAGACAAAGTCATATATCTATTACCAGATGTTCCTTCTGTAGAGTTCTATCATCACATCCAAAGATATCTTGGCTGCAGTTGCATTGCTATCTCTTAACATGGTATACATAAAATTCTGCAAAACCTGAAGAGAAAGAGAAAGAAGTCTTAATACATTGATGGTACAATGCTACAAACATGGACAATAAAAAGGTACTTACTACATTCACTTTATTGTTCTTGTGTTTTGCATTTATATTCTTGATATCAGTTACAATATGTGTGTATAAAGTCTGAGGAAAAGAAACAAAAACATACATTAAACCTAACCAACATTTCTAACCTATTAAATTTGGATAAAAATACAAATAAGAATAACTTAATTTTACCTATTTTCATTATATCATAAAAGATACAAAAAATAAAAGCAAGCAAATTTATAATAATAATTTAAAAAGCAGCTAAAAACCAAAGTAAAGTTATCCTAAAAAGCTAAACATCGAGTTATTATAGGACCCAACAATTCCACTCCTTGGTATATACCCAAAAGAAATGAAAAACCCATTTCCATATCAGTGTTCACACAAATATTCATAGCAGCATTATTCATAATAACCAAAAAGCAGAAACAATCCAAATGTCCCCATTGACTGATGAATGGATAAACACAATGGAGTATAGCCATATAACAGAATATTATTTGGAAACAAAAAGAATGCAGTGTCCATGGATAAACCTTAAAAACAGAAGACAGCCAGAAAAGACATATATTATATGCCTGCACTTATGTGAAATATCCAGAATAGGCTAATCTATAGAGGACAAAAAGTAGACTAGTAACTGTCTAGGGCAGGAAAAGATGGGGGCTGATTATTCAAAATCAAATGTAGTAGTCTTTCAATACTCTGAAAAAAAAATGTTTAGGTTAATGAATATAAACTTTTAATTTTTCTTTCTTAAATTTGTTTCATAAACCTTCAGCTTCTAGTTTTATATAGCAAAAACAAGGTCACGTGAAAATGTCAACAACAACAATAAAAGTTAGTTTTTTTAGGACGATTAGTTATGAATGTCCATGCCCTGATTCTGTTACAACAGAGCAGTGGTAAAGGAAATGGATTTTGGAGCCAGATTACCTGGTTTTATATTCCAGTCTCACCACTCAGAAACTGTGTGACCCTAGGCAAGTTACTCTTTTTCTCTGTGCCACAGTCTTTTTATCTGTAAAGTGCTAATAAAAATTATAATGAAAATTCCTATCTCATTGAGCTTTGTGAGTAAACAAATACACAAAAGCTCACAGAATGTGCCTGGCACAAAGTATGCACAAAGTAAATGTTAGCTATTAAATGTTTGCTATTAATACCATATTGCATGTACACAAAGGTTTATTTTTTTTCCTGTTAAAATTATTCTTGGGCTGGGATTGCAGTTCAGTGGTAGAGCACTTGCTTAACATGTGTGAGGCACTGGATTCAATTCTCAGCACTGAATATAAATAAAATAAAGGTCCATCAACAACTAAAATAATATAAAAATATYATTCTTTGCCATATCCAAGGACATAAAGCATAAAGAATTCAAGGGATTCCAAACTCTCCACATTTTATATAACTTGAAGGAAGAATGAGATGTAGGGAAAAACTTTTTTGGTCTTTACCTTTCGCAGAAGCTTATCATGGCAACGCAGAAGTTCGAAGAAGAGCTCTAGTAAATTTGATGGATTGATGAGATTCTTATTTCTCAGCAAGATCAGAGCTTTGCAAAATGTCTTTGAAAGGAAAAGAAAACACAGTTATAGTATATGTCTTATGGACAAATGAAAAAAATCAAATAAGAAAATGGAGCATTTATATATATCCCAAATAGGTTTAGGTCTTTTCCTAACAAGGCACTATTCTAGGCATCGGAACAGACAATCTCTGCCCTCATGGAGCTTCCACTAGGGGTAGAGCAGAAGAAGATACAGGCATAAAGAAGAGTATGTGAGATAATAAATGTCACAGAAGAAGTAAAACAGGGTAATAGGATTGATTAATTCTGACTGAAGAAGGCAACTTTACAAAGAGAGGTCAAGGAAGGCCTCTCTGGAAGACTGTCTTCATTTGAGAAAACCCTAGTGATCAATGACTCCATGAGGATAACATAGGTCAGGCAACAATGAAATGATACACGAAATGGAATAATCAAAATAAGTCTGTTACCTTACAAGACTTGTAGCATTCTTGCTTACCACCAATTTTCATATGCAGTCTTATCCAAATTATGACCTCTAATACTACTTTCCATTAGATCTAATAAGAAATATTTGGAGAATAGTTGGTTGCTTACTGTTTGTGCAGGGGAAACAATAAGAATAGGCTTGGGACTATTTCTTCTAGAATATAATAAGGATGCTTTAAAAAATATCAGGGGCAGGACTGGGCTCAGCACAGTASAGCTGAGCTGTGGCTCAGTGGTAGAGCACTAGCCTAGAATATATGAGGCACTGGGTTCAATYCTTAGCACCACATAAAAATAAATAGAAGAAAGGTCTTAAAAAAAAAAATCAGGGATACTTCTAAAACAACTAAGAAGCTCCCCCTTGGCCAAGTGGTGACAATGTGAACACAAAATAATAAGACCCCAAAAGAACTTAATAAAAGTATTTTAAAAGGTCAAAGAAAAAAATCTGCTTAATTTTTCTTGCTTTTCGTTACATAAGTAAGTTGTGAATATTTAGTTTCTTCTACAAAGAAATACAATCTGTTTCCATCTATGTAAGCAGGAAAGAGTAAACAAATACTTGGGGATTCCAAAGTACAAAAATAACAGCAAAATAAACTAGATGGAAAGTCCAGTGGTTAATCAGAATTGGTGGTTATCACAATAACCAATAAAATAGGCCAGGCATAGTATCAAACACCTGTGTTGCCAGTTTTTTGAAGACGGGCTACAGATACAGCTCAGTGCAAGAGCATTTGCCTCGCATGTGCAAGGTCCTGGGGTTCACTCCCCATAGCACATGCATGCATGCACGCACGCACACACACACACACACACACACACGCACACACACACACATTAGAACACAAAAAGTTCTTCTGTATATACTAAATTATTCCTCTAAAGAGCAATGCTAACTATTCAGACTCAATCCTTCATGTTCTAGCAAAGGAAATCTCTATTTAAAAAACAAAACCAAAAGAATCTTACTAATCTTTATAAAACATAAAGAAACATACTGCTGGGTGTGGTGGTGCTTGCCTATAGTGCCAGCTTCTCAGGAAGCTGAGGCAGGATTACTTGCGCCTAGTAATTCAAGGCCTGAGCAACATAGCAAGGAGGGAACATACAAACAAAAAAGAAAACCCCAAAACAGCGTAAAAATGGTAGAATTACACAAAGTCTGGGAAAAACATTAAGAATAAGAACAAAGTTAAAAGTCCACATCATGTACAACCACAAGAATGGGATCTAATTAGAATAAGTTATACTCCATGTATGTATACTATGTCAGAATATACTCTATTGTCATAAATATTTAAAAAGAACAAATAAAAAGTAAAAAGAATAAGTAGTATGTTAAATCTATAAACTTAGTTAAATATTTTTACAAGTTTTGGCATAGGATATTAATACGCTTTGTGATCATAATTTTTTTTTTGTAAGTACCTGCTGTAAAGGTATTTGAAAGGCAGATATGCCTATGTTGGGTTCCCTAAAAGCAGAGTCTGATTCATTGTAAGTCACTTGTGAATACATGCTCTCAAAAGAGAAGTGAAGMATGCAGAATAAGTACAGAGAAAAGAAAAACCAAGCAAAGACACTCACTTGGCTGGAGACTAGCTTTGGTGCAATCACAGGGAAGCCCTGGAGTACAATTTACAATACAGTTAGACCCAACATGAGTTGGGTTTTGCAGTTCATGATAATCAGCTGGAAGTGTAACCTCCCAGATCTAGGACTTTCATTTAGCTGGGGACTATGCTTCAGAGTAAGGTGGCGGCAGAAGTTGGGGGGTTGGAGGGGATCAGCAGTTGACATTCTCAGCAGATAGGGGAAATGGGTACAASAGTTGGTATAAGGGATCTTAACCAGGACCCAAGATCAACCACTAGAGTGACAATGTTTAAATGCTCAAACTGGCCATTTAATGGATAACTTTACTGAATTAAGTATTATATAAAAACTACATATTATAACAATTAAGGTTCTTCATGCATATGAGATTTGAAGTAATCACCTACTCAAAACAGGGCATGGTAGAAGAACAGAACAATCAGAGAGGAGAGTAGCAGAAAAGGAGATGAGGGAACAAAAACAGGCAGGAAGCAGAGCACAGGTAGGAACTTAACAGGCCACAATGATAAGTGTGAATTATATTATAGATATAAATGAGAACCCACAGAAATTTTAAGGAAAAGGTGACCCTTCTGATTGACATTTTAAAAAGATGTTTAGCTGACAGCCTATTGTCATTTAAATACATTATCATATGCACACCTAAACACAGTATAGTTTATTGATCAAAAAACTTGTCCTACCATTCGAAGATCTGGATCCAATACACTATGATTGTAGGAAAGAAGATCTTTCAGTTCTTGAGGAAAGTTACTTAGATGTTCTGGGTAGCAGTGACCAATCTATAACAAAGCAAAGGCTTTTCTGAAGTTCCTCTTTCTAAAATTGAGATGCACAGATTTAAGATGTTCTGCAAAAGGAAAGTATTTCACAAAGGCAGATGGTCCCAAATTATTTTTTTCCTATATGCTATTTCTCCTGCTATTCTCATAGTTCCTATAGTCTTTGTAAAATATTAATGATATCATTGAGAACCTGCTCAATGAATTTGAAAAAAATAGTTTGACAGTTTGGTTCTGATTGTTTCTATGAAAAGACCTAACAAATTCTCCACTCATCGTAGGAAGAAAATAAAATCTGTGAGAAAGGGCAAGTTTTAGAAAAACTTAAGCTTCCACTCCAGAATGGAATGAGGTTGAGTATTATTATTAAAAAAATATTCTGTAAAAGTGAGTAACACTGACCTTTGTTTTATTCAGAAATTATCTTCTTACCTGTGCCATAAACATCACCAGCTCTGCCAATTCTTTGCTGGGTTTATTTGGTTGTAACTTGAAAATCTCCACATTGGATTTGTAGTGATTATACTGCTGAAGAAACTGTAGAAAAATAAAATTTAAGTTTGTCATGTTCAATTATATGAGTATTATATGAGTAACTTATTATTATATGAGTAACTTATTATTATATGAGTAACTATTTAATAAAGTCTTTGACAGTGGCATGGAGAAAAAGATGCATCTCATATATAAAAATACTTCTTTTTCCTTATCTGCATTCTTCTAAATGAGTTTTGAAAAACCTAAAGCCATCAAAGATAATCTAAAAACTCTTTCCTTAGAATTATCATTAGAAAGTTAGGTAGTGTAGTATAAAGAACAATAAGCAAGAGTCAAAGACTCAGATTCTGGCCCTGTGCTGTCATTTACTAGCTAGATGACCTCTATAAATTGTCTGTTTGGAGAGCACTCAAACCAGCAGAAAAATACCACGACAGAAAACGTGTTTTTAAGAGTCAAGGGCAAGAGACACATAAAAATTACATAGCTTCCACTTATTCAGCACTTACTACGTGCCAACTTCATTATGTACATTATTTATTTCATTGCAATTAGTCCTAACAACCCAATAGTCTCATGTTAGAACTGGTGAGCCAGGCTTCAATTCCATGTCCTATAACTTCTCTCCTTCCATAGTCCAATTTCTTTCTCTTTTGTTTTTTAATTTTGTTTTGTTTCTTTGTGGAGTAACAGTTTGAACTAAGAGGCTCACACATGTTAGCCAAGTGTTCTACCATAGAAGTGTTCTTCCAGCTTCCCATAGTTGGTGTTTTTAAATTGTGTATATGTGTAAGAAACAGACACATATATACAGAAAATGCATATTTATTTATCATCAGCTCAGCCCTAAATGGTGTGGTGAACTCCAAATTCTCATATTCATTTGCCTATCTGACATCTGTTTAGATGTCTAAAAGATGTCTTAAACTTAAGTTTTTTTAGGGAAACAACATAACTTTTGTTTCCCTTAAAAAAAAAAAAAAAATCTAGGTGTCTACTCAACAACTTTTACCAAGTGTAGTAGTCAAAAGGCAGTCTTTAATATGTCCTACAAAAACACAGTCTCCCAGGCCATCCCTCAACCCACTACTCAAAAGAGGGCATGTTCATATTAGTAGTATCCCAAAACTCTTTGGGGTGGCATCGGGCATTTATATCTTTTAAAGAGCCAAGTTATCCTGATACTTCGTGGAGAGCACATTATTTTCTTCCAACATAGCTGAGTCAGAATGTGTCCTCTTTGCTCCTCAACCCTACTTTAAGAGCACTGGCATCCATCCAGATTGATTATTTTTTTCTTCACTGTCTCCACTCCCAGCTTTCAATCAAGTTTTACCCCATCAGTAGAATATAGACATGCTTTTATTTCTACCATCTAATGAGAAACTTTCTGGGTTCCACTTCACTTTCTAGCTTTCACTCCATTTCTCTCTCCACCCTCTCTCTCTCTCTCTTTTTTTTTTTCCCTCCTGCAGTACTGGGAATTGAACCCAGGGGTGCTTTACCACTGAGTTACACCCCCAACCCTTTTTATTTTTATTTCAAGACAAAGTCTTGCTAAGTTGCCCAAGCCTGTCTTGAACTTGAAATCCTCCTGCCTCATCCTCCCCAGTAGCTGGGATTACAGGTAAATGCCACCACATATCTGGCTACTCCCTCCTTTTCAGAAAAACACCTAAATTGCCCAGGCTGGGCATAGTGGCACACACCTGTAATCCCAGGGGCTTGGGAGACTAAGGTGGGAGGATCACAATTTCAAAACCAGCCCCAGCAACTTAGTGAGGCCCTAAGCAAATCAGCAAGACTCTCTCTCAAAACAAAAAATAAAGCGTGCAAAACTGAATTGTGCATACTTAATCTAATTGCTTTCCTTTTTTAAAAAAATTGATATAATTCATATACATAAGGTTTAGCCTTTAGGAGTACACCATTCAGTGGTTTTTAATATATTCAAAAGGTCAAACAACTATCTAATTACCACTATCTAATTCTAGAAAACGTTTCACCATAAAAGAAACTCCTATGTGTCAGAAGTTATTTCCTATTCCCCTTCCCCTCAGACCCTGGCAACCACTAATCTACTTTTGTCTGTATGGATTCACTYATTCTGGACATTTCATATAGATGGGATCATACTTCATTTGCCTTTAAGCCTACTGTAATCAGATTTCTGGACTCATTATTCCACCCAAACTGCTCATTTCAGGGTAGCTAATGACATTAATATTGCTAGAATTACTGAAAGTCTTTATCTTATTTGATTCATCAGCACCTCAAATTCTTGGTCTCCCCTTAACCTTGGGAACACCTTTGGTACTTGGCTTCTAGCATACTACCTGGCTTTCCTACTTCATGGGCAAATTTTTTCAGTCTTTTTTGATAGTTACTCAGCAATCTATTAGCCTCTAAATGTTGGGAATCCCTGGGGCATTGTCCACTTATCAGATCATTTCTCACTTAGTCTGCTATTACCATCCTGGTCAAAGTTGGCACCATTTTTCTTTTGTAGATAATTTTAATGGATTCTTAACTATGTCTGCTTCCACCTTTGCCTTCCTACAATACAATCTATCCTCAAAACTAGCCACACTGATCCAAATCTCATAAGATTATTCATGAATTCCTCTGCCCAAAAGGCTTCCATCTCACTCAAAGCAAAATCTAAAGTTCTTAAAAACAGCCAGGCTCTATAAGATTAAGCTCCATCTCGCCTCTGATTACTCTCCCTTTCCTCATTATCCATTTGAGCTATAATAGCCTACTTTAGGTTCTTCAAACCTACCAAGCACATTCCTATCCCAGGGTTTTTATATTTGCTGTTCCTTCCGCCTAGAATGCTTCTCCTTTAAATATATACGCAACTCTGCCTCATCCACTTTAAGCAGTTACTAGAGGACTTTTCTATTTTACTTTTTTTTTTATAGTACTTACCATCATTTACCAAACTATACATTCCTTGCCATTTTGTTTCCTCCTATAATAATGCAATCTAATGAGGATGGGATTTTTTCTGTATAGTTCACTACTACAGTCCCAGGGTCCAGCACCTTGCCTAGCACACCACAGGCAATTAATAATATTTGTCAAATGAATGAACTTCAGTAAGCGGCACCCGTGTGCAAAAAATCAAAACAAAACAAAAATCATTTGTTGTTCTTTTTTTTTCCCCTCTCCCTATATTCCCTCCACAAGGGAGCAAGGAAGTCCTACTTGCTCTACCTCCATGACTAGTTCAAATTTGTCCTAATTCTATCGATAATTTCATTGGCACTATTCCAATAGCCATTATAAGTTACCTAGTTCCAGTCTTACTCCTCTACAATTCATTCCACACATAACTACAGAGTACATTTTTAAAAATATAAAGGAGGATCGTGAGTTGAAAGTTAGTCTCAGCAACGGTGAAACCCTAAGCAACTCGATGAGAGCCTGTCTCTTAAGTAAAATACAAAATAGGGCTGGGGATGTGGCTTAGTGGTTGAGTGTCCCTGAGTTCAATCCCTGGTACCAAAATAAAATAAAAATAAAAATATAAATCAGATCATGTCACTTTCATGTTTAAAACTCTTCAATGGCTTCCCAAAGCACAAAGTGTAAAATCCACAACAGCCCTGTATTTCCCACATCATTTTCCACTGCTSTCTTCTGTGTTCACTACATTTTAGCCATACTTTCTTCCTCTCCACTTCTTTTTCACCAAGAGCTTCTGCCCTTCCTAATTTTTCTGTTATGCTTTTGACCTGTCTGGCTCAATATCACTATTGCAGAAAAGCCTTCTCTRTTTACAGAATCAAAATTAACAGCCTCTAACATATTCCTATGCAGTCTTATTTTCTTCACAGTCCTTACCACTATAAATCTACCTTCACTAAAATGTAAGACCAGGAGAAGAAAGCTCTCATCTGCCTTGTTTATCACTGTATCCCTAAGGTTTAGAATTACATTGATACACACCAGGGGCAACATGTGTGGATTTGTATGTGTATTTAAGTGACTAAAAGAGCCTTCTCACACATTAAAATATACACATAGGTTCATTGATTAACCTTCCCTGGTTACACAATTGATCTACAATAGAACCAAAATCAATGCTCTTAAATACAGAAATATATGGGCTTTCAGCTTAAWACTCTTGTCAATTGTTGTACAGTGTTTTCCCCCATTAAGTCCTAAGCTTTCAATTCTGCAAATATTGCAATGAAATCGACAGATGCATTAATAGGTTGCAAATCATAATCTAGAGCTTATATATTAATTATGATAGTTAATATTACATTATAATCACCACTTTCATTTTGTCATTCCTCAGTTCAAACACCTTTAATATTCACAATTCATCCAGGTCACACTTGCTTCCAATGGGTTTGAATCCTGGCTTACCAAGGTATACTAGGCTCCTGATTCTGTCCCTAGTATTCGAGAACACCCTGCCTCTTCAGGCACAGCTCAGGGCGCAGAGCTGACGTCCCTCGAAAGCATTTCAATACACGATTTACCAAGGGTTACCCACTAATTCATGTTAAGAGTTTCTGAAAAGCAGCAGCTAAGAAACCTGACGAAAGGTGAAGGATAGGGGCAGGTCCTTTGTCTCTGCACCTCAGTGAGGTAGCCAGATAAACCGAGACAAGATGAAGTTTTAAAGAATGTTTTCGTGGTAGCGGGGTCTACAGATCAGATAGAAGATCCAAAGAGGCCAACAGGTGGAAAACGAGCTCTATGCAAGTTCCTTCCCCAAACCCTTCTCTCCTCCGCAGGGACCCCGGATCCTAAAGGCACCCGCGGAGCCGGAACCCCGGCTCCTCCACGCCCCCCGCGCTGGTCTGTCCACCGAGCGTGCCCAGGCCTCTAGTGTCCGCCGCCTGCATTCCGGGAGGCCGGTCTGGCGGATAACCGACAGGGTGGGAACGTGTTTAACCCTGCCCCACTCCCACCTCCTCGATGTAGGCTGGCGGGTCCCGCTTGATCAGATTCTGTAACTGCGGCAGATTGTTGGGCAGCTTGTTGTTATTTCTGCTGGACATRTTGGCTGTAGACTGGCTTCCCCCGCCGCCGTTCTAAGAAGGCTCACGCAGCCGCCAGCAGCCAGTCAATCGCAGCGGCGGCCTGAACTCGTGCTTCCAAGTACAACCGGAAACGGCCGGGGGAAACTCTGTGGGAGGCACCACATTGACTTGGAAAGCGAGCTATGGGAGCCTCAGAGTGCCAAACTTCCTCTCACCGCGGAAATGCTTGCAGGGTTTTGACAGGTGATTTCTCACTTCCCTTGGGCAAGCGTTTCTGAAACGATCTGAATTGTAAAGGTTTTTCTTTTGCTTCCCCCCACCCCATATACATGAGCATCATCACAACACTCTTATGAACCAGACAAATGAGGATTAATAATTTGTTTTTAATCCCACAGCCCAACGTTAGAAACTAGAAGAAAACAAAAACCCGAAGACCATAAGGGCTGGTATACATAGCACTAGCTAAATTTGGAAAGGGAAAAATGAGCAAAGAGGGAAGTAAATTAGTTTTTGTATGGTTTTAAATATTTGTTTTTATTTTGGTTTTGGGTGTTTCAACTCATCATGATCTAGAAAAGGAAAAAGATACGTAATGAATGAACTATTGATCGTGCTGATTGGTTAAAAAATGCAAATTAGCCTGTATTTAAATTTCAACCATTATTATAACTTTTGCAAACATTCTTCAACCAGAGTTTTAAATTCATATTCTGGCAAAATGAGGAAATGAATAAATTTCTACAGTCCCAAGATATATGTAAGAAAATATGAGTTGGTTAAATGAATTAATGAGACAGGGTGTTGTTAATAAAAAACATACTATTACCTACCCTGTGCTGGACACTGTTCAAAGGCTTTTCTCATATTAACCCCTTTAATCCTCAGAATCCCTTTAAAATAGGCACTATTTATCTCCACTTTGCRTTGAGGAAACAGGCTCAGGGAAGTTGACTGCCCAAGTTCAGAGCTGTTGAGGAAGCCTGGATTTCAATACAGGCAGCCTGATTTTAACTAGAGGAGAAAGGCAAAAACAACCTATTGAGTGGTAACTGATCTGCCATAACAGAAAGACTATGGTGTTCTCCAGTTTAACCTAAGCAGGTTCACAGAACACCAACTTCAGTCAAGGTCACCAGAACTTTAATAGAATGAGTCTAAAACAAGACAACTCTCTAATCACATCTGAGTAAAGACAAAATAAAAAACACTGCACAAGGCACAATTTGTTACTTAATTGGCTTTGGAGAATAGATAATTTATCGATTGTTGAATCTAATACCTGAGAAGTTTTTATGAAGTAAATATAAGCAATAAGTTTTTTCTTAAAACCCCATCCAWGGCCAGGCATGGTGGCATATGACTTTAATTCCAGCTACGAAGGAGGCTGAGGCAGAAGAATGGTAAGTAAGTTAAAGGCAGGCCTGGCAACTTAGTGAGACCCTGTTTCAAAACTTTTTTAAAAATGGCGGGCTAAGGATATAACTCAGTGGTGGAGGGATTGCCTAGCTTGTGTGTAGGCCTTGGGTTCAAGCCTGACTAACACACACATACACACACACACACACACACACACACACACACACACAAATCATAGATTCAACTGTTTTGGGTTAAGTTGTATTAGGAAAAAAGAAGCATTCTCAACACAAAATATTTGAAATTATTTAATAAAATTGTCAAAATCACAAGTTTATGTACTATAAATTTTTACCTAGAGTTAGCAAAATGTGACTTGTTAATAAAACATTCAAACCACATCACACACTTTTATTTAGCACAATTTATATGCCAGGTACTAGGCTAGATGGTATTAGTATAATTTAAGTTTCAGTAACATAATGCTTCTGTGTATATCTCATTGGTCAGAACTTAGTGATATGGCCAATTCTATCAGAGAGTTTGAAAAATAGTCTTTTGGCTGGACACCATAAAGTCTTGAAGGAGAGGTCTTGTTTTAAKAAATAAAAAAGAATTTCATGAAGATTGTTATATTTAACATATGTCTGGAAGAATATATAGAGATTTTATATGAAGGGATACATAGAGGAAAAAGAAATTCAATTGGAACAGGTAATGATGTCTATATAAGTTTATTAGTATAATGTAGGAACTTAAGGTCATTCCTTAGGAAATACTTCCATGAGAGTGTTGAACAAAATCAATTTGCATGCTAACCTCATGATTTTATTATACTTGCCATATGACCTTATGATAATTAAACTATTTTAAAATTGATGTTAAATATACCTTTTTATTCATTTAACTTTATTCAAAGCAATAATATCAGGAATGATGGATTTTTTTCCAATCCACATCACAATAGAATGAAATATTCCTGAGACTATCTAAAGCCAACACCTGTTTTCATATGAGATATCAACCTTAATTTCTTTGTTATTTATTTTTAATTGACATATAATAATCCTACAGATTTATGGGGTATAGTGTGACATTTTAAACATGTATCCAATGGGTAATGACTAGATCAGGGTAATTGGCATATCTATCACCTCAGAAAATTATCATTTCTTTATGTTGTAACTATTCAAAATTCTCTCTACTTGGGGCTGAGGATGTAGATCAGTGGTAGAATGCTCACTTAGCATGCATAATGCCCTGGTTTCAATCCCTGTATCTTCCCCCCCAAAATTTCCTCTCTACTATCTACTAGAAATGTACAATCAATTATTATCAACTATAGTTATCCTATTGTGCTACTGAACATCAGAAGTTATTCCTTCTATCTAACTGTACCCCTGTACCCCATTAACCATCATCTCCATCTCCCTTTCTGTTTTATGATTAACTGTGTGTTTTACAGCTCTAAAAAGAAATAGTTGATGGGCTGGGGATGTGGCTCAAGCGGTAGCGCGCTCACCTGGCAGGCATGGGGCGCTGGGTTCGATCCTCAGCACCACATAAAAATAACATAAAGATGTTGTGTCCACCGAAAATTAAAAAATAAATATTAAAAATTCTCTCTCTTTTTTTAAAAGAAGGAATAATTGATGTATAAGAAACTGCCCATAAAGTGTACAATTTGATGAGTTTTATTTGTATGCACCCATGAGACCATTATCACAGTCAAGATAATGATTATATTGATTATTGTCAAAGGTTTTCTAGACAAATAGGTATCTGCTTTCTGTCACCAGAGGCAAGTTCACATTTGCTAGAATTTTATACAAGTGGAATCATATAAAACATACACTCTATCATCATTTTCTTTTAAGCCAGTCTTCTTTCACTTAGCATATTATTTTGAAATTCATCCATGTTATGTATATCAATGCTTCATTATGTCATTTCTTCTTTTTTTTCCCCACAGTATTTGGGATTGAACTCAGGCACTCTGATATTGAGCTATATGCGCAACCCKTCTTGTTTTTTATTTTGAGAAAAATTCCTGCTAAGTTGCCCATGATAGTTTGGTACTTGGAATCCTGCCTCAGACTCCCAAGTAGCTGGGATTATAAGCATGTACCACTGCACCTGGCAATAGTTCACTCCTTTTATTCCTGAGCAATATTCCATCAGATAGATAAACAACAATTTATTTGTACATCTTCTTTTTGTTGGATATTGGGGGGTTTCCAGTTTGGAGCTATGAACATTCATATTCAAGTTTGTGGACATGATTTCACTCTCTTTGGTAAATGCCTAGGAATGGGATGGCTGGATCATATGGTAGAAACTACAAGTCGTTTGCTTCTACCATTCCATTAAAATTTTATTGTTTTGTTTTTCACAGTGCTGGGAATCAAATCCAGAGCCTAGTGCATGATAAGCAAGCACTCTACCACTGACCTATACTTCCAGCCCCTAAAACTGTTTTTTTTTAAATCAAAATCACTGATTACCTTCATGTTGCTAAATATTTTTTTTTTCATTACTTATCTTACCAGTAGCTTTGGACACATTTGGTCTCTTCCTTCTGTTAGAAATATGTTTGGTTAACTGATCCCTACTCCCCTTGGCCACCTACAGAGTATTTATGTGTAGAAGACTTAGGGATCTTCATATGTATCAGGGAACTCCTCCAGTTTCCTAACTCAGAAAAGGCTAAAGTTCTTCAGGGACATAGAGGCTATTATGGACTACATGTCCTACCACACACCCAAATTCATATGTTGAAACCCTAGATCCAATGGAATGGTATTAAGAGGTGTGGCCTTTGAGRAGTAATTAGGTGAACAGGTAATTAAGTCAAGAATCATCAGAGTAGGATTAATGCCCTCACAGAAAGAGACAGTGCTCGCTTCCCCTCTCTGGTCTCTGCTACCAGAAGCTGATTATCTGCAGGTCCTCTTCTTGATTTACAGATAGTCAGTTCCCAGCCTAGAGAACTGTCAGAAAATGTTTGTTGTTGAAGTCACTCAGTCTGCAGTGCTTTGTTATACCAACTGCAAAGTAAGACAATGGGCTTATATGATCTGATCTCAAATGACCTCTCTGGGCTTCTTTTCCATCTTCTCCCTTTTGCCCACTTTACTCAGAAAGATGACCTCCTAGCAGCCTTGAATTTCTCAAGCCTCAGGGCCTTTGTCCTTGCTGTTTGCTCTGACTGAAACACCACAGGTCTTGTTCTTCAGGTCTCTCCTCAATGATGGTACACCTGACCTCCCACCCCTCCTCCACCCAACGCTCCCTTCCTTCCTTTCTTTCTTCTTCATAGCCCTTACCAATCTCTGCATATCATATATTTACTAATTTAGCTGATTTCTGTCTTTATGCACTAGAATAGGGGTTTAATGAAGACTTTCTGTTTCGTTCACTGCTTTATCCTGAACACTTGGAGCAATTCAAGGCACATAGTAGGTAATCAATCAGCTAATATTTGTGGAATGAATGAATAATGGATAATCTCTAAAGTCTATTCTAATGCTTCAATTGTGTGATAGAAAACAAAATTTACTTCAGAACCAGTGACTAACATGTGAATTCTAGTTATTGTCTCTATTTAGAAACCAATAATGTTGAGTATGTTGAGAAAAGCCAGGCCCGGCCGTCCACAGTGGCACACTCCTATAATCCCAGCAGCTCTGGAAGCTGAGGCAGGAGGATCGCAAGTTCAAAGCCAGCCTCAGCAAAGGGAGGTGCTAAGCAACTCAGTAAAACTCAGTCTCTA